CGGGGTTCTGGCGACGTCGGGCACCGACAAAGAAGATGTGTTGGTGGCCGAGTGTGGGCCCTGGCGCCCCGGGGAGACGACGCCCCCTTCCCTTGCTCTGAGACTGGCCGCTCTGTGCCCTGTTTCCGGGCATTGGCGAGGTCGGCCGTTTTTCAGTGGATTGACTTATTTTTGTCGGATGCTGAAAAAGATGTTTCATGAAGGTTTTAGTGCTGATAACGAGGAGGTTGACTCACGGGGGGCTAGAAGCTGACGGCGTTTTTAATGTGCAAACACGTAATTCGTGGGTAATGCAGGTTCCCACACGTTCCCTGTGGGGAATGGCCGCAGGTTTGTTTTGCAGCCGCTTCCCAGGTATTTGTTCATAAGTGGCCCCAAACCCAGTTCTCCCCAAAGAACGACCGCTTTCACTTGAGAGCGCAGAATGGATACCTGTTTAACATGATTCACGTGGTCGGAGAGTTTGGAAATCCTGGAACGGCCCGTTTTCCTGGTTTTTGCTGATGGGCAAATGCTAACTTTCGTTTTGGATAGTAGATAAGGAAGACGGAAGGCAGGGTCAGCAGTAAGAGATTTGAGTGCCTGCTGGTACTGTGTCAAAATTTTGGAAACATTTATGCAGCCAGCACCTCGTAGGTGTGCGGGGTCACGTGTTAGCATGCTGTTTGGGTGGGGTCTGGAAGATAGTTTCAGAAGACATTTCCCCAGATCACTGTGAAACCACAGGCTTATATCTGTGTACGGAGAGCAGCTATCTAAGCTGATAAATGTGTTTTCTATTGTCCACTAGGTACAGAGAGGTCCCTAATGATACCGTTGGCCATTTACAGTTATCTCAAACAGCAAAGTTAACTAGGGAAGGTTTTTCATTATTAAAGATATTATTGAAAAGACATTTGAGAAGTTTATAAATTATTACCCCAGTAGGTCGCAAATATTTCTTACTTGTGAAAAGGAAATCTAATTGCCCTGACCGGTTTGGCTCAGTGGATAGAGCGTCGGCCTGCGGACTGAAGGGTCCCAGGTTCGATTCCAGTCGAGGGCATGTACCTTGGTAGCGGGCACATTCCCGGTGTGGAGTGTGCAGGAGGCAGCTGATCGATGTTTCTCTCTCATCGATGTTTCTAGCTCTCTATCCCTCTCCTTTCCTCTCTGTAAAAAAAAAAATCAATAAAATATACTTTTTTTAAAAAGAAAAGGAAATCTTATTTTTATTGCTTATTTCCAATAAACTGCTGAATGTAACATTCCGTATCTGAATTAGATGGCTGGTAAAATTGCATAAATATATCTTAGTATATCAAAGATTGCTGAAAATTAGACCCCTGGCCATTCTTTAAGTTCCTAATTCTACTTGGAATATTGGCAGTTATGAATTCATCACTGACTACCTAGCCTGTTGTAACTTACTACAGTGGATATATATTATATTTTAATTTGAACATGGCAACCTTGGCATTTTGGGACGATGCTCTAACCAACTGAGCTACCCACCCAGAGTTCTACAAAGGAATATTAAGATGTGTTTTAATTTGACATTACAGCAGGTTTAAGTTTAAGGTGGTTTGGTGAGACTAGTGTTTATGCTTTCTAGCATACCTTTTTATTCTAACATGGAGGTCAAATATTTTTAGTATTCTTACATGCTTTTCAGTATTAAAGGACAGTGTTAAAAAGGGATGATGCTTTTTTCCACTATTGGATAGGGATAATGCTTTTTAAAAAACAGACTTTACTCTTTAGAGCAATTGTAGGCTCACAGCAAAATTGAGCAGAAAGAACAGATTTTCCATATACTTCCTACCCCCACACATGCATAGTTTCCTCTTGCTTATTTTTTAGGATTTAGTAATATGCACTTGGCATATCTATATTAATATACTTGCAGGTTGGGGAAATTATCCTTTAATTTCAGAAGAGTTAGTAATCTTTCAGCAATAATCATTTTTGCACCTTTCCGTTGTGATTGTCAGGCTCTGTGTAGATGAAATTTTAAGTTATGTAAATGTTATGCAGTGTCAGCAGTTAGTGTTGCCCTGCCCTTGAAGGAAACAAAGTAATTTTTACTATATTGTTATATTTTACACTATTGCATTATTTTGAAACACTTTAAATATAATTTTTCATTGATTAATCTTTCAAAACATTTGAAGAAGTGGCCAATATCACTCTCATTGACAAAGACAAAATTGGAAGGGAAATAGATGTTTTTTTCAGCCTTTTGATAAGTAAATGAAATTGAATATAAGATGTCATTGGCTAGTGTTATTCAGAGCCCACACAACACTTTAGCCTTCACTATTGCTGGAAACTTACGTTTTTACTTTGGACTGTTTATACACCGCAATTTAGCTATAAATAAGGGGTGATCTTACTTGATCTTACTTACTATAAGTAACTCACATTTGTTTCTTAAATGTATTAATCCCTTAAAACAAACATGCACATTTTTTTCTTTTCTCTTAGTATAACAAAGAGGATTGCCTGACCAAGCCAAGATGCAGAGCACTTCTAATCATCTGTGGCTTTTATCTGATATTTTAGGCCAAGGAGCTACTGCAAATGTCTTTCGTGGAAGACATAAGGTTGGTACAGAGAAAACTGAAGGTTTTTTATCATTTTATATATACTCTTCTGAGAAGCATGCTTGCACTAAAATGTGAGACGTGGTGTTTTTGTTATACTGTCTAAAGTTTTCCTGTTTTTGTGGTTTTATACGGTAGAGCTTATGTCAGAGGCAGTGCTTTCTACTGAGTGGTGACAGAAGTTACATGTTGGGTAGCAGAGAAAAACAGGAGGGTGGCTGAAAAAAGTGACTAGGGAAGGTATGTTGTGCCTTTTGGGTCTTTCCCCAGCCTCGCCCTCTGTGGTTGTGTGTGATCTCACTAACAGAAGTCCAAAGCGGCAGTGATATGGGCTGGGGGTAGTAGGGAAGGCAGATCTGTAGTTTGGAGGGCAACCATGGATGGTTCCTATATGCTGTACTAAGGCTTCACGCCCCCAGTAAAACAGCAGATAATAATAAAATGCGATTATCAAAAAGGAGCCCAGGTTTAAAAGGCTCTATCTTTGTATGAGGTAATTAGAACTTGTTAGTGGAAGTGAGAATGAAATAACCCCAGAGGCACTTCAATAACTAAAAAAAAAAAATTGTGTCAGATTCTATATTGGAGGGTAAAATTAAAGATAATTAAAATAATTTAAAATGAAGACATTTACAATTATTAAAGTTTCTATTCTGGGAAAAGAGCTAGAAAAATAATGGAGTTAAAAATCCTTTTATAATTCAAATAATAATCAACTAATTTTTCAGTACTATGCATTTTTTTGAGTAAATGATATTTAGAGGCTCCTTAAGTCTTATTTTTAGAAACAGGAACCTTAAATATTTTAGTAAGGAAGAGTTTTTTTATATTTTCCTGTAGCCTTGAGATTACCCACCATTTAGTTCCATCAGTGACAGTGAGATAAATATTCATATCAGAGCGGCTGTTTCCTCTCCTGGAGAGAGAATATGACTAAAAAGAGATTTTATGGCTCATAGAGAATGAATCAAAAGTGCCATTTGGACACTTTTAGCTTTTTTCCTTCTGATTTCAGACTTATCCACAGGTTCTGGGTTCTCAATCAAGTTCATTGTGGTCTCTGGTTCCTTGATCAAATCCACTGTGCTCAACTGTGGATATTTCTTTCCTAGAAATTGGTTTTGTTTTGTGTCCTGTGCCAGAAAGTGAAAACAAGTGGCGTCACAGGATTTAGTGTTGAGAACACATCTGACTGTCTGTCTTCCT